TTAACAGAAGATCTATTTAACCTTTCTCACTACTACATCTTTTGTCCTTTCTCATCTTTCCCTCCTTTTCCCAAATTTGGGTCTATAATCCTTTGAGTCACAACTCCAGCTTTATTTAATAATCCTTCTTCATTCACACATCTCCAAGTATTTGAAAATATTTCCTTTCCACTCAAAAATAAAATATGAATAAAGGTTTACGGCTTTGTGAAACTTTTTCTTTGAGTTTATGTCGTTGAAATAGATAAATAATAAAAAAATTAAAACATTTTGTCGGTTTTGTTTACACGTTTATTGGCTGCATTGAAACCGGCCTTGGGCCGCATGCAGCCCGCGGGCCACGGGTTGGACACCCCTGGTTTAGATGCTTGAAAAATGATTTTGATCTTGAAGATAAAGAATGCTTTATCAGTGATGTCAGATTTGACCCCAAGGGCATACCATAGGGCAGCTGCCCTCCCTAGAAAAAAATTAAAGTGTAGTAATTGACATACAGACACACAACACAGACATATCAATTTAGTATCAGTTTGAATAATGAATATTGTGACTTGACTAGAGCCATCTGTCATGAAATCTCATTCTCCCTCCTCACTTCCTCAAAACTAATATGAGTTGCCCCCACTAGTTCAGATCCTGGGTTCACTGCTGTTTGACCCTGATAAATTTAAAAATTAAGATTATCATTTGGAAAGAGAATCTCACCAACTTGCTCTGGCAAGATTATAGCAACTTGGAATTTCTCAAAATTATTAAGGAAGGTAAGACCCTCTAGTCCAGTGTTTCTCAACCTGTAACGAATCATTGCCCCCTTCAACGTAGTATCGCCCCATTCAATAAAACCGTTATGTAGTATCGCCCCCTTCCCTTCAAAATTCTGATGACTAGGGCTAAGGCTAATGCCAAATTCGTACCACATTGAATAGACTAGTGACTAGTATAATGTTATTTGTTTAATTATTGTGCGATATAACGAATAAAATATCTAATTATTCTTAATATAATGTTTTACTATATTGCCCAGAAAATTGTTTTCACCCACCAAAATATAAATTGTTACTAATCGCCTCCTAAACATGGAAAATTGCCCACATGGGGGCAAAATCGCCCCCGTTGAGAAACACTGCTCTAGTCTATATCTGCTTGCTAACATAAGAAAAATCAACATAGATAAAAGAACCCACCCCAATTACAACTACCACCTGTGTAATCAGCTTGCCGCTGATGTTTACTTTGATGATTCAAAAAATTGCACCATGTTTAGGATTTACACTAACATCTCCAAAATGGATAAAGAGGGGTGCCGCATTTGTAGTTTACTGTGATTTAGGCCAAGAGCTTACACAAGCATGCTTCAAATTAGGTCCACATTGTTCAATTGCTCAGGCAGAAACATTGGCTATTTATATGAGCTTAATCCACATTAGACATAGACAGGACAAAAGACACTTTGTACACTACCACATATGCTCAGATAGTAGGGTAACTTTACAAAGGATAGCCAGATCTGATAGCCAAATTAAACTTGTACATCACATTCTCAGGCACTTAAATAACAACAGTAAAGTACTGTACATTTTTCAATGGGTCTCACATCATGCAGGGTCCACAGAAAGGCTACTGACCATCTTGTCAAATCAGCTGCTAAATCTACAATCACTAACACTTTTAGTTATATTCCTACATTTTACATTGACATGCATGTCAAAAACAAATTACCATTCTCTGGCAAGACAGCTGGGTACATAACACTACAGATAGACTCACCTACACTTTTATCCCCACAGTTGACATGATTAGAACTCTTTCACACTTTTCCCCAAGCTTTACCCTCACTCAGATTCTTACTGGCCATGGCAATTTCAAGCAATATCTGTCTAGGTTCAATCTTGGGGACAGTCTGTACTGTGAGTGCAGGCTGCATGAAGAACAAACATCAATGCAGTTAATTTTCCACTGCAATAGGTGCACTAACATTAAGAATAGCTAACATTGATGAGAATGGAGGCAATTTTGGAAGGATACAACTGGCCATGAACACCATAGCAACTCACCCATACAAGTACAATGTTCTGTACATACCATCACTTACTTTCATTCATATCCCACAGCAAGGCTCTTGCAGTTTCTCTCCCTCATGGCAACACAACACACAGATTTCCTTTCTTGCTTAGTTTATTTCCAGGTACACTTTATGTAGTTCTTTAGTATTGTGTCCCTAGTTTCTTTGTTGTCCCTTGAGTTCTGTTTTGTCTTAATTCCATTGCTTTATTTTGTTGTCTTTTGTCATTGTATGCTATTATTTGACTGAGTTGTCTTGTCAGCATTCTTGTTTAAGTAATAAGTTATTACTAACTTAAACTAATTATACTAAGTTAGATTTGTGATATCTATAAATTAATTTTAGTTAATTTTTAAGTTAGTTAAGTTAGATTTAAGTTATCAGTTTTTTTTTTTTTTGCAGTTTCTTCTGGTTGATTCAGTTATGTTATTCTGGTTTTTACAGGATTTGCTAGCTTAGGTTCTGTATTAATTTTAGTATTAGTTTTAAGACTAGTTTTAAGCCTTAATCTTTATTCTTCACAACCTAAAAACTGCATGCCAACATTAAACATAGAGAGAGTAGTAGCCTTATGTACACCACTCAGAGGGCTCCTTCCTTTCTCTTCTTTCTATCTCCTTATCCTGCTCCTTCTTCTGGCTAAACACTTAGTGTATAGCTGTTGTCTTTTGTTTTCTTTTTTGTTGAAAATATTGATCTTCCAGTGAGATGGAGTAGACTCAAGGTGTGGTGGAATGGCATACTTTCAGTTTATCATTTCTGGGTGCACTAAAGGAAACCCATTCCACTACACCAGATGTCTACTCCATCCCATTGATGGAGTAGACATCTGGAAGACTGGAAGACCAGAGTTTTCAACAAAAGCTTACAAATATGGGAGCACCATGCAGAACCTGGAAGCAAGGCTCAAGGAGTATCAATAAATGATTAACAAGAACATGAATAGCACAGTCTTAGTAAACTATGCATGGCAAGCAGAACATACAGATTACATGGGAAGATGCAGCAATAATCCAATCTATTATAAATTTTAACAACTCCTATCACTTGGAAACGACAGAAATATATATATATAGCTCTTAGAATAAAAATGTGCACGAATGTTATACATACACACTGCTTATTGTGGAAATGTATTTTTGAAACCTGAACTTTAACATTTGAGTGTTCAGAGCTTCTTGTCCATTTATTCATTTTTGTACTTAAATTTGTCAGGTTAACAAATATTGGACTAATCATATAAAGAAAAGTTTTAGAAGAGTAAACTTAATCACTTTGAATTATTTTTTGGGATGCATTTTGGGTCTGAATACCTCTTCAGTACTTGGCAATTCTCATAAAAAGGTTCTGAGTAAAATCACAAGGAAAGCACAATTTTAGTATAATATTAGCACAAAAGGTACATATAATATCATAAGCTGAGTATTAAATTATGATATGAAAATTTTTTTAAAAAAACCGAAATTAAAAGCAAAAAGAATTTATCTGGGAGAGTCATAGAGTTTTTGTATATCAATATTTTGATCTAGAAACTAAAAGTATGAATTAAAATAGAAGAATGAGGTTAAAACTTAAATATTAAGTGATTAGAATAATTTTTACTACATCTTTTGTCCTTTCTCATCTTTCCCTCCTTTTCCCAAATTTGGGTCTATAATAAAGAATGTTCTGACATTGAATAGTGAATTGTACTTTAAAAAGTACAATTACATTTTTAAATTTGTTTGATTTGTTAGTAGAAATTAACAAATTCATTGCAGTAGAAACTGTATTGTTCTACTATAAGATTCAATTATCTCATGGAATTAGTTAAGATTGAAGAGATCTAAATATTTCTATTCAAATACCAGTGTTTGGCTTTTATTAATAAGTATATTTTCATTAATTACTTTTTCAGAAAAAAGTATTAATTGCTTTCTAAGAGTATTCATTACTGGACAGTCTATGAATAGTTAGATCTGTCAAATATATAAACTAATGCTGAATATATAATAATGCTTCTGTCTACAAGAAAAATACTGTATTTCCTGTAATAATTCTCAAGTAAATATTCTTATAATAATCACCATCCAATATCTATTGTAAAGTACGCTGCACTAGTTAACCTTAATACCATTATAATAGAGTTTTTGATATTTGATATTATGAAATAACAGAAGTAGCTCTATATATAGGTAAAAATGTGATGTGTAGGGCCTTGAAAATTTGGCAGTAGTTTTTAATAGAAAACAACTTTAATCTTTAATAAATTCTAGTAAAATATTTAATGACTTGACAAATGTTTTCAGGCAAATTCATAGTGTGGCCATATGCCATTGCGTATATTAATTTACTCATAGTTTAAGCATCTTTCCCTTTGTTCTTTGTTCCTTCTCACTTTAGAACTTTCTATTCTTACTCTTTTCTTTTCAGTGATGAGAGCCAATTCATGGAACTAGAAAACAAAGAGAGAAAAAGGACCTGGAGGCATGAGTGAGAAGGAGTCAAACATTTTTTCTGCTGGACTTCCAAGATGAAGAACATAGAAGATGGTGCTTCATGTCATTGAGAGCAGCTAGACTGGAGAAGCAGAACTAGCTTGACAAAGATCAGTGAACTTATTGTAGTGATGATACAAGTATCAAATAGATAGAAGAAGAAAAAGGAAGTCAACGACAAGCCATCAGTCTAAGCGAGTTCCGTATGGCCTCCCACTGACATCCTGGGTATTTCATACTTTCCTATAACCTATCTCATCATTTATCACTTTCCTATTCTGACTTCCCCTTCCCTTAGTTTAAGTTAGTTTATAAGTACTAGTTATAGCATTTCCCGTTATCAATTTCCTTGTACATATTGCAATATATACGTATTCTTGTCATTTGTCTATCAATATTATTGTTACTGCTGTATTACTATTCATTGCCATTGATTTGGAATCCATAAGAATCTGTATCTGTACCATGAAAATAAATACTTTGTTTAACTATATACTGTGTACACTTATTTATTTGGTATGTTTTCTTTGTCGATCTCTAATCAATAATGTGTAAAAAAATATTTTTGGTCTCTTCCATTGAAAGAAATATTGCAACAAAACTGGACTTCCTTCTGCAATTGATAAATTCAGCCTTGCTAAGAGCAGAGAGAAGTTTTGTAGGTAAAGTTCTGTATGCCTATTGAATTGTCCAATTCATTTTAAAACTATTGTATTGGAGCCTTGAATAAGTTCTTGCTGTTTTCCAACAGATGGAATTACCAGAACTGTGTGCATGTAGTTTAAGATGGTTGCATATCTGTAAGGAAGTACCATAAGCAAGCTTGAAATTCAGTATATGTCATTTCGCCGAAGTGTAAACAACTTTTTTCCATAGTATTAAACATGTCGAGTTTTGTGCCAAAAAAAGAGTATTTGTGGGAAATTTTATTGCACCATTTTATTCATAAAAAATCTGCAGCTGAAGCACACAGAATTCCTGTTGAGACTTATGGTGACCATGCTCTGTCGGAAACAACATGCAAAGATTGGTTTAGATCAGGGGTGTGCAACCTTTTTGTTTCTCTGGGCAGCATTCGAAGAAGGCAAGGAGTTTTGGGCCACAAGTACATATAATATATACTTGTGGCCCAATATACAAGTTTATTTAAAAATTAACATGTCTAGATTATAATAATAAGTTATTAAAACTTTATCAAGAAAAAGGATATTTTAAAAATTACTTCTACAGACACTTTCAATTTTTACTTAGAAATAGATAAATTCATTTATTATAAAAGANTGGACAAAATAAAAATGTCACTTTTCTATGGTGTTGCGTTCATATGGATTAAAAGATATTATTAACAGAAAATGTGTACATGTTGAGTTACCAACAGAGCTGATGAATGAACAAAACGCAACATATACTGAGTGACAGAAAGACAACGTGAGGATGGCAAGTTTAATACCAAGTATGCTAAGTAAACCAGTTGCTGAGCTCGTGTTGACGTGCAATGATGCGAAAGAAATTTGGGATAAATTACGTGCACAATTTGAATGCAGCAGTACGCAATGTTTGAACATGTTAACTGAATCCTTTTTTTGGGTTAAATAGGATGAGAAGGAGGACATTAGCACTCATGTTGCCAAATTGCAAAAGTTATTTGTGGATTTAAATGATTAATTAATGAAACATGAAGAAAATACTTTGTCTGAAAAAATATTAAAAGGTCAAATTTTACCTACATTGGGAAACAACTATTATAATTTCAAAGACCTTTGGGACACAATTCCTTCAAAAAATCGAAGTTTGAATTTACTCATTGTTTTCAATGAGTAAATTCAAACTTCGATTTTTTGTGCACGATTGGACTGTGTGATCAAGGCACAACCAAAACAAATGTTTTTTTTTTTTTGCTTCTGGTGAGTATAAAAAGAAGCAGAATTCTGGAAAAACAAAAATTTCAATGTAACAAGTGCAAACATATGGGTCATTGGGCAGCAGATTGTCCACAGAAAAAGATAGGTGTCGGGACTATTAATTAATTAAGCAACGAAGTGGCAATGTATTCATTTCACATGTCATGGGCGCGTCGATTGGAAACTACATTGATGCAAATAAATGGCATTGTGATAGTGGCACAATCAAGCATATTACCCCAAACAAACAATACTTTGTCTCATATAAAGAATTTGTTGTTTCTGAAGTAATCTCACTTGGAAAGCAAAATGTGAGTATGTATGCACATGGCCAGGGAACAATAAGGATTAAAGTTCGACGAAACAATATCTGGTATAATGCTGAAATGAAAAATGTTTTGTATGTCCCTGATGCAAGTGTCCACTTGTTTTCCATCAGAGCAGCAGCATCGAATGGCTACAGGATAGTAATCAATGACGAAAGTGTTGAAATTCGAAACAAAATCAGTGAGAACACTGTCATGACTGATTACATGAAAAATTATCTGTACATGCTCGATATACGCGTTGTAAAACAACATAAAAACATTCGGGTGAATTTGGTGACAGTGTCTGATACTCTACAAGTGTACCATGAAAGGTTTGGTCATCAAAATAAACAG